GGGAGGGGGGAGGCTGGGAAGGGAGGTGAAGGGTAAACAAAGGAGGAGGCTGCAATGCTTGGTAAGAAATGTATGCATTATCTTGCCCATGTAATTGTAACCCCTCTGTACAGTATGTTCACAAATAAAATAAAATTAAAAAAAAAAGAAATGTTCTTACTGCAATTCTCAATTCTTTTTAATGTATGGACAATCTGAATACATCTTGTTACCCTAAGCAGCAAAAATTTTCACTATGTTTGAAACTTCTTAACCAACTCAATGCAAGTTAACACTAACAATCCTACTCCTGTCTCTGAGTTGCCAGCATCTTTGACAAAAATAGCTTTTGCAAATGAACACCACTGAATTTAGACCTCATGAAAAACATAAGCCTAAGCTTCGTTTTGTTTTTATTATTAATATACTTAATAAGAGCTAGAGGAAACTATAAAGCCAAAATTTCACCATGTAAATGAAAACACTGTCTTAAACAAATAGATGGTGATTTATTGTCTTTTTTCTGCTCTAAAAATATTTCCCTTAACTAGCTTTGGCTCTTCAGCAAAAGAAGTTCCAGATGAAGACCTATCTTAGGATATAGTACTGAGACTCCTCAAATATCTGAGGGGGGCTAAGAGGAAGGAAGCTATAGTGTTTCCTGAAGTTGCATTAGGGATATCCAAATTTAATTCACAAATTCTCTGTTTTATATATTGCTCAATTTCCTGGCTTGTCAATTATCCTACCTAGATCTTTAAGCTCATAGGAGGTCTTTACTGTGGAAAAGATGTAGTAACCTCACTTATGGGGCCAAAGAGACATTTCTTATTTTAAAACTAGGGATAAAAAGGAAAAGTCTTCTGGGAAGAGTAACTCCACCAACATTCTATGCTAATAGAGTTGGACATGAATGGAAGGGATTCTAGCATCCCCCAACCTACAAAACAGCATTCCAAAAGAACTAGAGTGTGAAGGAAGAAACTTGCAGACACAGGGAAGACTGCATGCAGAGCAGTTCCTGTCTCCACTAGGGCTGATGCTCAGTGACTCTTACAGCTATTTCCAGTGTCTGACTGCTCTTGGATGGACGACAAGGAGACTTAATTCAGGTCTCAGCTGCAAGCATCTGAAGTCTCAACATCAGAATATTTGTCAGAAGATAAACTGGCAGTACTCAAATCAAATGACAAGGCTGTCGAGCTACAGACCAAAGTCTTACTCACAGGGGAGGAGTTTTTGATGTAATTGGCTATTAGCTTTACAAGTCCAGAGAGCAACAGGAAGTCTGTAGCCACAGAGGACCTTATTGGCCAGACCAGACATTCGGTAAATCTGTTCTTTTAGGCAGTGGCCCACTTAAAACAGGCTCTATTTAAAGGCATGCCAAAAAAAAAAAAAAAAGGTGGCTGTTTCATAATGGGCCACCCTGTGTTAAATAATATTATTCTTCTGGTAGGCAATCCTATACTTAGCACTTTCATGAAAATTAATTAGGTACAGGTACAAAGACCTAAGAGACCCTGTTACACGAATCTCTTAAAACTTGAAATGCAAAAAATCAACCAAAAGTATCTGTTAATAACTTACACACCTCTTTGGAGAAATGAAAGAGCTTTGGTTTACAATCATCTGTAGCATTTGAAATCTGTTTAAGAGTATTGAGGGGAAAAAGAGAAACCAACAGCTATTAAAATACAGCAACAAAAATGATGAATTCATTACTACTAGGCTTTCAAATTATTTCAATTTGAAATAATTTTATTTCAAAACAAACCCCCCATATATAATGTACTTTTTCATTAATTATTTCATTAATTAAAAAAATCATTTGACTTTTTAAAAATGTTCAACTTTTTTTATGCAAAAAAGAAATTCAAACTTAAAACTATTACCTGGAAGAATTCCTCTGCATAGTTTAAGGTCAAAGGACAAGGGATGGACCACTTTTTAATTATTATCTGCAAGAATGAATACAGCCAGTATTCAAATTATTTCTAATAAAAAATAAGAAATTGATTTTAAATAGGTCAGCATTATTTTAATTAACCTAAAACTATGTCAAATAAGATGCTAACTGATGATCCTTTTGTGTTGTTGTTTTGTTTTGATGTTTGTGTTGATCCTGATATAATTTTTTTCCTAGTAAGGAGGGGATCATTTAACACAGTCATGAGGGAAGCAGTTGACAAGACGGAGCTTTCCATCTGTTTAGTGGGAATCTCCTCTTAAAACAGCAAGGGTGTTTGTATCAACTTTCAAATTCCAACAGTATCATAGTATTTGTTTTTGAAAGTGCAGTGCAAAAAAGAAACATATTTCAGTGACAACTGTAGAAAACATGATTACTTGTGTCAGTTGCAGATACAGAAATATTAAAAGCAGTTTTTGGGAAAAGCCACAGGCAGACATAAGTAGAGACTGTGTAAAGGGGGACAACCTCATAGATTTCTGATGAATAAGTACTTTCCCCTTCTTGCTCTTTTTAGATTTGTATTCTTTTTGATGAGTTTAGAGAAAACTGGCTAGAATAAAAGCACATAGCTAGGGAACTCCAGCTGGTAAAAATAAATTTTTTAAAAAATTAAGAGAAATCCTTAGGGATGCTGTTTCCCAGAAATAATCATTGAAAATGTTTCAGGATTTTGCTCTTAATTGTGGTCATCCTGTTCCTAGGCCTATAGTGGTGACTGTGTCAACATTACCATTGTGGCCATGTTTCAAGCACATAATTACTCTGTAAATGTTTGCTCCAGGCTAAATCCCAGCATACAGAGGGGCAAAGGAGAATAAAGGAAGTATTTGTCTTTTGCCAGAGACCAGTAAGTAAATACTATTTCTATTCTTATTTGCTATTTATCTTGTTTTGGATTGCAGTGAACTGAACCAAAATTTTATATGACAACAAAACACATCTAAAGAAAGCATAAAATTTTAGGATTAAGTTAATGAGTACAGTAACATGTCATTGTTAATTTAAAATTTCATCAAGAAAAAGTGTTTTTAGGATAAATGGGAAAGCTGCCTTGACATTTCTAGGTAAATATATTATATATATATATATATATATATATATATATATATACTCTATGATATATACAGAGTATATGATATGTCATAGAGAGTATATATATGTATATATGAAATATATACATATATGTATTATATATATAAGTATATATTTATATATACTCTCTATAATATATATGTAATCTCAAAGATCAACTTAGCAAAATGGAAGAACAAAATCAAAAGTAGTAATCTCTTTTTTTTTTCCTGAAAGGTTATCAAATGAAAGAGGAGGATGAGGTAAAAAAAGATGTAGAAGCCAGCCATTGTTGGTCTCTCTTTTCTTCCCTGTAGACACTGCTCCAAATTCCTCACATTTGATCACTACTGTCTGTGGTGCTGTTTCTAGCAACAGCCAATTAGATTGGGATGGATGGAGAGAGAATAATGTAAAGGGTATCAAGATGCATTGTACTCATAAATTGTCATGTTGAATTGAATCCCCTTTGTATGACTATTATTAAATTAAAAAAGAAGTGAAAAAAACAATAAAAAATAGATACCTTGATAAGCTCTATACGTGGGTCACCTCATTTATTTTTACCAGCTGCTATTCTAAGCTTTTGAAACAAAATGTTTTCAAATGATTCCAAAATACAATTCAGTCTTTTATTAACTAGAAAAATTTACCAACAGCCTTTAAAAAATATTAATATCAGTTCATTAATTCAGTTACTACAGATAATTTCTGTGCAATTATTCATCCCAATTCCACATCTGCATTGTGGAAGGGGAGTGACTAGAGATGATTCCTATAAAGCAGAAGCACACAACAGGAGTGGGAAAAAACATAACCGAAAACCCTCAACCCTCCCCCGCCCCCCGCAAAAAAAACCAAAAAACAAACAGGTTGAAAACAAAACAAAAAAAAAAAAACTCAGGTTGTAGACAAAATTCTGGAGGTTAGAACAAAAAGACCAAAAACTAGGATTAAGGGCTGGGAAGGTGGCTCAGTGGTAGTGCTTGTCTCCCATGCCTGAGGCCCTGGGTTCCATTCCTCAGCACTACATAAGCAGAAAAGGCCAGAAGTGGTGCTGTGACTCAAGTGGTAGGGCGCTAGCCTTGAGCTGAAGAGCTGAGGGACAGCAAACAAAACAAAACAAAAACTAGGATTAAGTACTGCAAATACTTCACTAGCCCAAAGGCCCAAAATGTGGCCTCCTCAAGTCCTTCCTAGTCTTCAAGACTCAGCTCAAGTTTTACTTCCTTAGTGATCCTTTTCTCTGCTCAACTCTTGACTCTTATTCTCTATAGATATTTCCATCGTGTTATGCTTAGGAACTTTTATTATTCTATTTTCACATAGGCATACAAAGCACTTGGATTATACTCCCCCTCCCCCCTACAAACATTTAAGATAACTTGGAGGGGGAGGTATCTTATGCTAATTTTTAATGAAAACAAGGATCAGATAGAAGTTTTTATTTGTAATGTTTGAGCAGTATAATTAAGGAAATAATTATTTTCTGGATTAATTTTTAAAAATATACTGTTATACAAACACGTATTGACAAAAATAATCAAGTAAAACACCACTTCAAAAATGTGGGTTAAGGCCGGGCACTGGTGGCTCACGCCTGTAATCCTAGCTAATCAGGAGGCTGAGATCTGAGGATCGCGGTTCAAAGCCAGCCC